GCTCTCCAGGTATTGCTGCCAAGTCCATCAGTAAAGGTTGAGCCATATAGTACATTGTGGTCATGGGTTGATTGTATATATCATTTGTCCCAAAACAGCAACAACCAGGTTAAAAAAAATTCAATTCAAAAACTATTAAATAAGAGTCATATAGTTTTATTTCCCCAAACAAATAACCAGGCCGAGTAGTCAGCCCTCAGTTTATTGGTTTTGGGGTTTGTTTGTTTTTTTCTTTTTTGCACCTGCACCTTTTTTTCTGCATCAGATCCCCGTTGACAGGAGGCCCTGTGTTGAAGGAACCCCCTCATAGTGTCTGTACCTGTTAAATACTCATTTATATCCACCAGAGAGCGCTAACCCTCCTGTGGTTGTAGGGCAGTTGATGCCCTACTCTACTGTTAATTTAGCTGGCTTTGGTGTCTCTGGAGACGAACAGAGCGAGTTTGTCTTTTTATTTTCAAAAATGCTCGCTCTTCATTTTGGAGTGTCTGGCTTACGATTCCGGTCACACATTTGTTTCCAAGCTACAAAATAAGAGGATTGATGTTGTAGGTGACCTGCTCATCACTCTGATTTGTCACTCACAGATGGAGCAGCATGTGGGCGTTGATGCTGAGCTGTTGTGTGGCCGTAGTAAACAGTGGTTTTACTGATACGTTTATGCTGCTGTGTCCAAGCGACGTGGCGGCTGGACTGGCTTCACGATATTCTTTGAATTAATTTGATGAGGCCATGATGGATCTTTTCACATTATGTCTGCCATGTGGGTGGAAGCTGTCGTGGGGGATGTGATCTCACAAAGGCAGCTTTTCCACCAACCAATACCTCCGCAGCTATTTGGACCCTAGCCCAGCCCCCTCGGATCATCCCCCCTCTCTCTACCTCTCTGGTGTGTATTATGCGCACACACCCTCTAACTCTCTCTCACACACTCACATACACCCACTTTATGCTCCATGCACCGTCATAGCAGGAATTTTCCACTCAGCAGCAGGAGAGGGCTGCAGCCAGCTGTGCTGTCAATTGCACTGTGGGCTGAAACGTCGAAGACTCTTTGCAGACACCCTCTCTTTTTTTTTCTTTCAGCCCACATTTCCTGGCCATACCCCTGTGCATAGCTACACGCCTGCACGCAACCACAACTACATGCAGTGAAAAATGGCAGACTGACTGTGGTCTCCATGAAGAGAGCGGCAGGAGCAGATTCATGCGAGCATGAACATGTGTGTTCTGTCCGGCCTGTTCAGTGGAGCAGAAGAATGTAAATCCAATTGCTGGGACACAGGGGAAGCAGGATGATCTAATACCTCCTCCTCTGTTTCTGTCTCTGTCTCCATCTCCTTCTCTCTTTTGTACACTCAATCCCTCCTTTCCCCTTTTCTCTATTCCCTAATCTGTCTAATCCTCACTGTCTCTCCGTCTTCAGTGCACACCATAGTAATCGTGTTTAAATGCGTGAAAGGGGGCATCGAGGACAGCGGTGTTCATGTGTTCTGTATACATTAGAAGCCTCTTATGTAAGTGTGCGCACACGCCCCCCTGCCTCCTCCTCTCTCTGTTGCCCATACATTTCCCGTGTCCTCTCAAATCAGGTCAGCTGAGGACGCTGGAACCAGAGGACCAGCCTGGTCATTTGCAATATATACATAAAGTCCTGAAAGCCTACACCACACAGGGGAAGGCGAAAGAAAACAAAGGGGGATTTGAGGGTCTTTTTTCCCCAAACACTGGTTGGTTCCACAGCAGTGTGCGTAAACGCACTGGGAGGCAAAATACATACATTCAAGATAAATCCCAAAAGATCTAATCTAAAGTCTCAGCATGGGGCGACCTGTTTCCACATCTCGTCTCTGTCCATACAGGTCACCTGGACTTGTTTACTTTCAATTGGACGTTATGTCTACTGCAGTACAGGAAGGTCTTAAGGAGCCTGTGTGTTTTTTGGTTGGGGGCTGTTTTCCCTGGTTTGAGTTACTGCCCTCCAGTACCATCAAGGAAACGCTTTAAAGAGTAGTTTGACTTTTTTCAGAGCCACATTTGTTTTCTCTTTTAACGGTAAATGAGAAGATTGTTGCTCATATGCACAACATGTGAAGCCTGGAGGCCATTACCTCAACATAAAGCAAGAGGAAGTCGCTGGTCCAGCTCTGCAGCACCTCTGGAGCTCACAGGTTGTTTGACTTCATTAGATACAGAGTGTGAACGTTGCTTTGACAAACATCTGTGACAACAAGACGCCAGGAAGTCAGCATGGATCTGTTGTTTGGCAACGGATGTGCGTTCCCATAAAACATAAACGATGATACATCGCAGTCTTCTCTTTTCCCACCTGCCGCCAATCTTTTAGATAGTCTCATGTAAATATAGGTCTGAAAGAAAGGCACCGTGTGAACAGGAACCAGAACACGTGGCTCCTGTAAGACTGCAGACTGAATGAAGGAAGAGTTTGGTTTGATTCTGTTGTAACTTTGTTCTTCCACAGACAGGACATTAGTCTGTGATGGCACAGTGTGTGGTGGAAGAAGATGGTAAAGGTGAAACATCTCATTTTAAAATCATGTCATAGCTGAAGGAACAGGTTGAGTTCCAAATATTAAACTGTATTTTGTTTTTTCCTGGAATAAAACAAACGTTTGTCCGTTTGTCCAACCAGGACCAATTAATCTCTGGAGCTGACTGTTGGATTCTTATTCATGTTCAGACATTTACTGCAATTATTGTCAAGCAGGAATATTTAGGAAGATTTGGAAAATGTGCTTTTCTAAAATTGAATCCATTTCAGGGTCACAGGGAGAAGTTGGGGTCAATCCCAGCAGCCATTGAGCCAAGACCTATAGCCCGGTGGTCTGCAGTCCATAAGAGGTCCTCATACGGACACAATCATCCACATTATGGTTATACCTACGGTCCATTTAAAGTGGATAATTGTATTGTATTATAACCCTGCTTGTTTTTGAACAGAAAAAAAAAATGTGAGGAAAAGAGCATCAGTTACCACTGGGGACCAGTGTTGTAGGCCAGTAGCACACTTTCACTGTGTCTCCTTTCAATATTCTAGCAGTTCTCATAGTGGTTGGAAAAGTCTTGTCTGTTTGTGCTCAGGTCCTATCTTTTATAGCGAGTCTAGGAGTGAAATCTAAAAAAACTTTTCCACGGAGAAATCAATGGCCCTGTCACCATTGTGAAAAGGCTACTGGGCCAAGAAGTAGTCAATATTTGTCCACTCGGGCCTCGCTCACGGCTGTGATGAACTGATAAATGCACAACAGTGTAAACAAAGATTTGTTTCAGTGGCTTTTACTCAGCATGTGGAAGAACTTCACTGGCCTGGTCAATATCTAACCCATATCTCCATCCATCACTGTGAACAGGAACAAAGACTGGTGTTCACATCCTCACCTGACGAGGGCTGGTGTGGCTCAAATTAAAGAAAGTCAGTGCATGTCCTCGGAACATTGGTGCTGATCTTCTCTGATGTATAACCAAACATATGAGTTTCTTCTTGGTCTCCACTAAAACCTGCAGTATGTTGACTTTGCCCTAATGTCTAACAGCTGAATCCGTTACGGGTTGTGTTTTAAAACACATTGGATTGGAAAAAGTTTTTCAGAGGAAAATGCATTAACTTATAAAGGATCTTGTGGTACTTCTCAGGAAAGCCACCTCCTGGGATGGAATCTTCTCTCAGAGAATCAACTATGTCAATAAATCACCGCAGAGAGACAGAGTCAAGAATGGAAAACGTATGCCTTGAGAAGAGCACAACTGGGAATGTGTTTGATGCAAAGTGGTGCAAACATCATTTTTGAAGTTGACTGAGACCCAGAGCTAGTCTATTGTAATGTGCAGATTAAATCCTATTCTGAGAATACAGATGTCAGCAAACATACAGGGAGCTCACAGTTTTTTTAAGGTCAGTCTTATGGGTAATGCAGTTAAAATGAAAATAGGAATTATATAATGGTCATTAAAGACTACTGTACTATAAATTATACAGTTTACATAGTTAAGGGTGTGTTATGTTAAAAGGATGATACCTGGTCAGTTTTCTCAACAATGCCACTGTAAAATATGAACAACTTTGTGGCAGGAATGTTATTTTAAACAAAGTGTTCATATTTTTTCAGCAGTGTCTCCGAAAGTTTTGTAGTAAACATAATTTCTGGAAAACTTTTGGGACGATGCCAATTTTATTTTGGAGGAATGTAGCGCCATCATGCGACAATTAAAGGCTGTGCTGTTCTCGATTTTGTGTGTCTCTTTTTTCAACCATATGTGGTCGCTGTGGTTCAGTAGGTAGTGACGTTATAACATACTGTATTTGTTATATGGGATAATATTCTAGCAAGATATTGTTGTACAATGCCAGATCGGTGGTCCACAAAATGGATGAGCTAATGCTGATCGCTGTCTGTTGTTTTGTTTTGTTTGTTGTTTATTTAAGTGATCATTACAGCAGAGTAATGTTTGTATGTATGTATCTGTGATACATCTGCGGAGAGGCCTTCCCTAATTTTGTTATGTTCGAACCAAACATAATGACAATAGAATAATTCAATAGAATATTCTATTCTATTGTAATGACAATAGAATATTCTATTCTATTCTATTCTATATCTGCCATTTTCTGAATGTTTAAATTAATTTTGGTTACTCTAAGGAAACAATAAGATGTAAAGTTCTATTGATGTAAATTTGGTGGAGGGACACAATTTATGGTACATAAATTGGTATCTGGTGTTGCGCTTTCTGGGCTGCTTCTTGTGTTTAGTGTCTCGTGTTCTAAGTGTTTAGTTGCTGATAAACGTCCAGGCGTACAGCAAATTAAAAATAAACTAGTTCCTATACACGTTTGTGTGTGTGCGCGCGCGCGCAAATATACTGTACTTATAAAGTCTTGACAATTCTCAAATTATTAAAAATAAGAATAATTTGCAGCTGCACCCCCTTCCAGCAGATGGCGGCCGTGGCTAGTACGATACTTTTACAGTTTTGACACTGACAACAAAACAAGAAGAGGGGCAACGTTTATCATGGCTCCTCTTGTTTGTTGAATTTGAACTCGTACGACTCGGAAGAATGGCTGAGGGTGGTGTGGACGAGCTTTCGCAGCTCGAATATTTGTCTTTGGTGTCCAAAGTCTGCACGGAGCTCGACAACCATCTTGGGATAAGTGACAAAGATTTAGGTATGTGTGATAAGGTCGCTTAATCGGAGAAAATTGGCTAGTCTGTGCTAAGCTAGCCAACCGACTGTTGTTAGCCGCATGGGTAGGGAAACCTAAAGTGTGTTTTATGTGTATATTTACAGTTAAGTCACCGTTGGTTTCGTCCAATTCCGTCAAATTTTCTGTCACAACTGTTGGTGTTTTCTTTAATATACTCTTGTATTTTGTCTCTATTTCGCAGCGGAGTTTGTCATCCATCTTGCCGAAAAACAACCGACTTTTGATGGATTCAAGTCTGCGCTGCTCCAAAATGGGGCCGAATTTACCGTATGTTTAATATCCAAAGAATCGCGGAACACGAGGAGAATTTATATCAAAGTATTTCAGTGATTGATTGTTTATGTCTTTTTTTTCAGGATTCTCTCGTCGGTAATTTGCTCAGGCTCATTCAGACAATGCGGCCTCAGTCAAAAGCATCAACAGGTAAAGGTAAATTAAGTTTTCGGTGCTTTAGACGTCAGTGTAAGTTTCCTACAAACGGTGTCTGTGATTAGTTATTTTTCTGCACAGAAGTAAATATAGTAATAATTATCTGTTTTGTTATGACCTTAATCCTTCAAAACAATGTCATAGAGTTGATTTATTCTACCTTTTGTGTAACAGATATAATGAATGTTTTGTTTCAGTTTCTGGGGCTGTGTGTAAGCCCAACTCAGAAAAGGACAGGCTGAAGGAGCTGTTTCCTGCCCTGTGTCGGCCAGATGATCCAGCACCAAAGGTTTGTACCTGAAATACCTAATTTGATATTATGTTCATTCATCTATTTTACTGTTGTATACCACATGTGGTATAGATTCTCTCTTATGGAAATTAGTTGTTTGCAACTGTGCTTTGCTTTCTGTGTTGAATTGTATGTTGTGATTTCAAACTGTTGTTTGATTGCTGTGTACACGCGTAATTAATGGCATTGTGATAAAATGCTCGTATTTTTCGAGTGTATACAATGTCAGGGTCATGTAACCTCATGTTATTGACGGTGTTTGCAAATAATTCTAACTTTTGGGGGAATGTGGGTTAGGATTAGTGTTACTTACATAATTTTTTTGGTTGATGATCTTAGAAACTATTAGATGAAGATGATGTGAAAGTGGCAGCTGATGCAATGAAAGAGCTGGAGATGTTCATGCCTAGTGTCAGTGGGACAAACACAAAGAGTCATAAGAGCAGGTAAGGGCACTGATAAAAAGTGATTGGATCTTAAATATGGGGACATTTATTGCTATTTTAATTTTTGTCAAATTTAATGTTTGGTTGTTTTTTTACATGTCTTCTTTAAGATCAGAGAAGAGCAGACGCTACAGTCGAAGTCGCAGCAGGAGCAGAGAAAGAGACAGGCACAGAGATAGGGACAGGGATCGTAGGAGAAGACATCGGTCTCGGTCACGTTCCAGATCCAGGTCCCGATCCAGAGATCGTGATCGTCACAGAGACAGAGATCGGGGGAAAAGAAGAGACAAATCTACCCGTCGGACTGACAGATCACCGAGTCCTAAAAAAGACCAGGATAGAGACTCTGACCGATGGAAAGACAAACATGTGGACCGTCCTCCACCAGAAGAACCTTCTGTGGGGGACATCTATAATGGAAAAGTAACAAGCATTATGCAGTTTGGATGCTTTGTTCAGCTGGAAGGATTGAGGTTGGTGTTAAAACATTTGAGCTGTGGTCATGGGTGGATTTTAAATGTATTTGCTCAACCTGGAGAGATAATGTGTAAAGAATGTCATTCATTTCGAAGCACCTGACCTCTTCTCAAGATATAAAGTTGATCTCTGTTTTTTTCTAAACTTTTTTTTCTCCAGAAAAAGATGGGAGGGATTGGTCCATATTTCAGAACTGCGTAGAGAAGGGCGTGTTGCCAATGTCGCTGATGTGGTCAACAAAGGTCAACGAGTCAAAGTCAAGGTTCTGTCCTTCACTGGCTCAAAGACCAGCCTCAGTATGAAGGTAAACATTTTCAATGTGAATTTTGAGTACATTTGTTGTGAGCACACTGAATTCCTAAACGTCTCCTTTCTTCTTCTTTTTTAGGATGTGGAACAGGAGACAGGGGAGGACCTTAACCCTAACAGGAGGAGAAACGTTGGGCCAGACGGAGGTGATGAAGTCACCATGAGAAATCCTGACCGTCCAAGCAACCTGAACCTGGGAAATGCTCCAGAGCTGGAGCAGGATGACACTCTAGAGCGCAAGAGGCTCACTAAAATCTCTGATCCGGAGAAATGGGAAATCAAACAGGTTGGCTATTAGCTTTTATCATGTACCATTTACCATTGTGGTACCATCTGATGAAAATCTGACTTATTGACACTGACTCTTTACAGATGATTGCTGCAAACGTGTTGTCTAAAGAGGAGTTCCCTGACTTTGATGACGAGACAGGGATCCTACCAAAAGTAGATGATGAGGAAGGTAAAATCAATAATAACATCAAGCATGTCAAGTATATCATTATAAAAGGATTGATTTGAATAGTGATACTTTAAATGGTACTGTTTTTCTTTTTTTGAACTATTCCAAACCCTTTTAATTTATTCCTGTCTAAAAATAGTATTGTGAACAGCCGCTGTAACATGAGTCTTCACATTTTTTTTAGATGAAGATTTGGAAATTGAGCTAGTGGAGGAGGAACCTCCATTCCTGCGGGGCCACACAAAACAAAGTATGGATATGAGTCCAGTCAAGATTGTCAAGGTACATTTAACTTTAATGAAAGGCAAGTTCATATTTGGTACCTGTTGGGTGCAACAGCAAGGCAAATTGATTAAATACATTTTTTTAATTTATTCCACAGTAAGATGATACTATCACTACAATTTGAATTCACATTGTCTGGGAATTAATTAGTTTCAAATAAACTTTAGTTGAGTTTAGAAGCAATGGTTGTGATGTGTCAACTGGGGGCACTCAAAAATGGTGTCATCAACTAAGGTGAGGAGAAGTACCTCTTCTACCACTGTTCCTTGCTAAAATTATTAATTACTGAATAATTTAGTCTTAAATACTGTCTAATTATGAATGTAGACATAAAAAGTAATCATAGTCCAATAACTCATTTTCAGGTATTTTTTTCTTTCCATAGAATCCAGATGGATCCATGTCCCAGGCTGCTATGATGCAGAGCGCTCTGGCTAAAGAAAGGCGAGAGCAGAAGCAGGCGGCTCGTGAGGCTGAGATGGACTCGATCCCCATGGGACTGAACAAACACTGGGTCGACCCGTTGCCAGATGGTTAGGAATCCATTTGATGAAAGACTGAAAATATTATTTCAGTCTCTATATGAACAAATGAAACACAGTCCAACCTGGTTTAACTCTAACACTTCCGTTAAGACTCGAGGTCATTTCCTTCAAGATTGGCTTAACCAAAGATGCTTATCTGTCTTCCTTATGTCTCTAACTCACCAAATGGAGTGAGTTTGCTTTGTTTTAGTGGGTCCCTGTGCACATTTAGCCTTGGGTTGTCTACACAGTGGTGTCCTGCCACATCCATGCATATTTAACAGTGTTTTCCACCATTCATCTTCATTGTTGAGCTCTATTTTAATCCCCTTCACAGCTGACGGGAGGCAGATTGCAGCAAACATGAGAGGCATTGGCATGATGCCCAATGACATCCCAGAGTGGAAGAAACATGCCTTTGGGGGCAACAAGGCCTCTTACGGTAAGAAGACCCAGCTCTCCATCCTGGAGCAGAGGGAAAGTCTGCCCATCTACAAGCTGAAGGAACAGCTCGTTCAGGTCAGAATCCCACTTTTTGTTTGTTTTTTTGGTCAACAAGGAAAACACAATTACTGATAACACTAATTTTCATGGTCTCTGGTCTCTGAGCTTTGGAATGAATTAAATAAATACATATGTTTTGCATTTAGATGTGATTTGAATTTAAGCAAGTATTACGCACACCAAGTACTACAGCATAGTACAGAGTATAGAGAAACGCAGTTGAGTTGTAATTTTTAATGGTCTCTATGTGGAATTTAGGACGACTACACATTTTTCATGTTTATGCTCTTTTTCATGTGGTACAGGCTGTTCATGACAACCAAATCCTGATTGTGATTGGAGAGACAGGGTCTGGTAAGACCACACAGATCACTCAGTATCTGGCAGAAGCGGGCTACACCACCCGTGGGAAGATCGGTTGTACCCAGCCACGTCGTGTTGCTGCTATGTCTGTGGCCAAGAGAGTCTCTGAGGAATACGGTTGCTGTCTTGGACAAGAGGTGACATGACCCTTACCTTGATGTGTATCTGTCTCCAGACCGCACACGTTTCTGGAAAAGTGCTGGATTTTTACTGTTGCTGATGTTTCAACAGGTTGGTTACACCATCCGATTTGAGGACTGCACCAGTCCTGAGACTGTAATCAAGTACATGACAGATGGTATGCTGCTGAGAGAATGTTTGATCGACTCAGAACTGGGCCAGTACGCCATCATAATGTTGGACGAAGCACACGAGAGGACAATCCACACAGACGTTCTCTTTGGTCTGCTGAAGAAGGTGAGCCAGATCAGAACAAGAACGACAACTGCCTTGTCATTTCACTTTTTAAATATGCTGAGTCTTTTCATTTTTTTTTTTTCTACAGACTGTACAGAAACGCACAGACATGAAGTTGATCGTAACATCTGCTACTCTGGACGCTGTGAAGTTCTCCCAGTATTTCTATGAAGCACCCATCTTCACCATCCCAGGAAGAACATACCCAGTAGAAGTTCTTTATACCAAAGAACCTGAGACTGACTACCTTGATGCCAGTCTCATCACTGTAATGCAGATCCACCTGACTGAGCCTCCAGGTATGATTTAAAAAAAAAAAAAAAAGGACCAACCTGATCCCCCTTTTTATAATGTGCAGAAGATTTTATTTTTGGTTTTTTACGTTCTCTTTTTCTCATTGCTCAGGTGACATCCTGGTGTTTCTAACTGGACAGGAGGAGATTGACACGGCCTGTGAGATCCTTTATGAACGGATGAAGTCACTGGGCCCTGATGTTCCTGAGCTGATTATTCTGCCAGTTTATTCTGCTCTGCCCAGTGAGATGCAGACCAGGATCTTTAATCCTGCACCTCCAGGCAGCAGAAAGGTGGCTGTAAAATTTACTTTTGTCTTCTTGTTTCACTTGGTGAACAATATATATAAAAATGTCTTTAGCTGTAATTAACTGGTTGGTAGAAATTAACTGCTGACTGGCTAGTTGAATTTAAATTTCTGCTCAATTATGTGAATTTTGTTTTTTCATTATTAAAATCAAGATTATTAAACACAACCACCTTGTAATTCTGGAAACGGTGCACATCACAAACGTAATATATATAGTTAGATTTTAATTCATCCATTTTCATCCGCTTATCTGTTACCGGGTAGCGGGGGCAACAGTCGCCACCCAAATCACATTGCACCGTACCAACCCCCCGAACCTTCCTGCGGGTGGTGAGTCCACTGGAAGGTATTAACTGCCCTAACTGGGATTTGAACTTGCCCAGGAGGTGAGCCCTGGGGTTCCACACCAATGTCAGAGACATTGCCTCTGGGCCAAAGCGGCTATATTTTAATATGTATATTATATTTTAATATTATACAAAGTTTAAATATAGAATCATTAAAATATTGAAAAAGGGTTAACACATGTAAATCCTTGTCTTCTGCAGGTTGTCATCGCCACCAACATTGCAGAGACGTCACTGACGATCGATGGAATCTACTATGTTGTAGATCCTGGTTTTGTGAAGCAGAAAGTTTACAACTCTAAGACTGGTATTGACCAACTTGTGGTGACTCCCATCTCACAGGTACAATATCTTTGAGCTGCAGGTTAAATAGAACATTTAAAATAATAATACTTTTCACAGAGTTAAATCTGTTGGTTTCCAGGCCCAGGCCAAGCAGAGAGCTGGTCGAGCTGGGAGGACAGGTCCAGGGAAGTGTTACAGACTCTACACAGAGAGAGCATACAGAGATGAAATGCTGATGACAAATGTACCCGAGATCCAGAGAACAAATTTGGCAAGCACTGTGCTCTCTCTAAAGGTCAGGAGTCACTCTGCTACAGACACCTTTCCATGCACACATATCCTTCTATGGGTTTGTTTCTTCCCTTTTTGAAAGGAAAATCCATATTTTACATCCCTTCATGTTGCATTTTCTTTCCGTAACAGGCCATGGGTATCAATGATCTCCTCTCCTTTGACTTCATGGATGCTCCTCCCATGGAGACTTTGATCACAGCTATGGAGCAGCTCTACACACTAGGAGCTCTGGATGATGAGGGTTTACTGACAAGGCTGGGCAGGAGGGTAAGGTATTCTTTGTATTTGTTTTTCAGGGAAAAAAACTTTTGTGGTAAATATTGTGGAAATTGTGATGAACTTTATAACTAGCTATTTAATGTATTCAAAGTAAGTTTGTTTAAATACATGTACCATATGTTTGTTTGTTATACTTGTTTTATTTCTGACCTGCAGATGGCAGAGTTTCCTCTTGAACCCATGCTGTGTAAGATGTTGATCATGTCTGTCCACCTGGGCTGCAGTGAAGAGATGCTCACCATAGTGTCAATGCTGTCTGTGCAAAACGTGTTTTACAGGCCCAAGGTATGACTAACACAAGTGTTATTGAAGGAGAGGTTTTAAAGATATTGTACTGTATTGTAAATTCCATGAAGTTATATCCAGTGTCCTGAAGTGCATTTAACAAATATTTAATTTTACTAGAAATGTTTGTGTTGTATATTCATACCAGCATAAATATATTTTTATGTTTGAAAAGTTATAACTCAGTTTGATAAATGGGTCTTTTTTTTCCAATGTATGTACTTTTCAAATGTACATTTTTCAAATGTACTTTTACTGATGTCTTTGTTTTTTATGCCTCAATTATTTGAACTATATTGTTGTTTAAAGGACAAGCAAGCTCTGGCTGACCAGAAGAAGGCAAAGTTCCATCAACCTGAGGGCGACCACCTGACGTTATTGGCTGTCTACAACTCATGGAAGAACAACAAGTTCTCTAACCCCTGGTGCTATGAGAACTTTATCCAGGCTCGGTCACTGCGCAGAGCCCAGGACATCCGCAAACAGATGTTGGGTATCATGGACAGGTATAAGGGAGTAGCATTGGTCATCAAACATTAAATTTCATTTAAATTTGTCTTCATTTCCTCATGCAACATGCCATCTTACCCACAGACATAAACTTGATGTGGTGTCATGTGGAAAAGCCACAGTACGAGTCCAGAAAGCCATATGCAGTGGTTTTTTCAGGAATGCAGCCAAGAAGGATCCTCAGGAGGGCTATAGGACCCTCATAGACCAGCAAGTCGTATACATTCACCCCTCCAGTGCTCTGTTCAACCGCCAGCCTGAGTGGTACAACTGCAACTCAAATCACATCAGTCTTAAAAAATGTGTTTGATTGTCTGTCCAAATAAAATCTTCCTGACTTTGCCTTTTTAGGGTTGTCTACCATGAGTTGGTCTTAACCACCAAGGAATACATGCGGGAGGTGACCACCATAGACCCCCGCTGGCTGGTGGAGTTTGCTCCAGCCTTCTTCAAAGTGTCTGACCCCACACGTCTCAGCAAGCAGAAAAAACAGCAGCGTCTGGAACCTCTGTACAACAGATACGAAGAGCCCAATGCTTGGAGGATCTCCCGCGCCTTCAGAAGGCGTTAATGTTAGGCATCCTG